CATTAAGGGGTAGGCTGGGTCCCCAAGGATACATATAGGCATTTCAACATCCCCAACAGTTATTTTCTGGTCTGGGAATAAAGTCCCTTCCTGCAGCTTTTGAAACAGACCAGAGTTCCTGAAGATGCGAGCGTCATGTACCTTTCCCGGCCATCTCACCTTGATGTTGGTGAAATGTCTCTTGTGATCCACCAGAGCTTGCAGCACTATTGAAAAGTACCCCTTGCGGTTTATGTACTCGGCAGCTTGGTGCTTCGGTTCCAAGATAGGGATATGGGTTCCGTCTATGGCCCCACCACAGTTAGGGAATCCCATTGCAGCAAAGCCATCCACTATGACCTGCACATTTCCCAGGGTCACTACCCTTGATATCAGCAGATCTTTGATTGCGTGGGCTACTTGCATCACAGCAGCCCCCACAGTAGATTTGCCCACTCCAAATTGATTCCCAACTGACCGGTAGCTGTCTGGCGTTGCAAGCTTCCACAGGGCTATCGCCACTCGCTTCTCAACTGTGAGGGCTGCTCTCATCTTGGTATTCATGCGCTTCAGGGCAGGGGAAAGCAAGTCACAAAGTTCCATGAAAGTGCCCTTACACATGCGAAAGTTTCGCAGCCACTGGGAATCGTCCCAGACCTGCAACACTATGCGGTCCCACCAGTCTGTGCTTGTTTCCCGAGCCCAGAATTGGCGTTCCACAGCATGAACCTGCCCCATTAGCACCATGATGCATGCATTGGCAGGGCCCATGCTTTCAGAGAAATCTGTGTCCATGTCCTGATCACTCACGTGACCGCGCTGACATCGCCTCCTCGCCCGGTATCGCTTTGCCAGGTTCTGGTGCTGCACATACTGCTGGATAATGCGTGTGGTGTTTAATGTGCTCCTAATTGCCAAAGTGAGCTGAGCGGCCTCCATGCTTGCCTTGGTATGGCGTCCGCATAGAAAAAAGGCGCGGAACGATTGTCTGCCGTTGCTCTGACTGAGGGAGGGGCGACTGACGACATGGCTTACAGGGTTGGCTTCAGGGAGCTAAAATCAACAAAGGGGGTGTCTTTACATCAAGGAGTATTTCAGGCAGGACTTCACGGAGGGTTCCAATAAGAAATGGTGCACCTAAGTTATCGTTCTTATTGGAACAAGGAGGTTAGCCTGGCCTCTGATTGATACATGCCTAGATTTACCTCGCTGCACCTTCCTTGTGAGTGACTGCAGTGTGACCTACAGGAATGAGTCCCCTAGACGGGGGAGGAGGCAAATGAGTACAAAACAAATCTGGTCTATTTCTTGTTTTGATCCACTCCATCTATCTTTTACATCTTTGGCTGGCAGCAGACGGTGCAGAAGGACTGCATGCGATCCACATCTCATGGCTGCTCGGCAGAAGATGGTACAATAGGACTGCTAGCAATCCGTATCGCCTGCCTGCTCACCATAAGACGGTTCAATAGGACTGACTGCAGGACTAAAGAGAATGACCTGGTCAAGTCACTCCAAATTTAGTCCCTGCGCCCATGTCTGCCCAGGCGCTCCCAGCCGACGTGGCCAGGAGCACCTCGGACATGACGATGACGGCTACCAGTCGTACTGTACCGTCTGATGCCAGAAGGCAAGGGGTTGCTGCTACTGTGTAGCAATGCAGTACCGCGTCTGCCAGCACCCAGGAGACATACGGTGACGGTTACCTGAGCAGCCTCCATGGCGTCTGCACAGGTAACTCAGGAAAAAAGACGCGAAACAATTGTCTGCCCTTGCTTTCACGGAGGGAGGGAGGGAACGGGGGCCTGACAATATGTACCCAGAACCACCCGTGACAATGTTTTAGCCCCATCAGAGTGCTCCATTGTGACTGCTCTGGACAGCACTCTGAACTCAGATGCACGATTGTTTGCCGTTGCTCTGACACAGGGAGGGGCGACTGAGGACATGGCTTACAGGGTTGGCTTCAGGGAGCTAAAATCAACAAAGGGGGTGGCTTTACATCAAGGAGTATTTCAGGCAGGACTTCACGGAGGGTTCCAATAAGAAATGGTGCACCTAAGTTATTTTTCTTATTGGAAAAAGGAGGTTAGTCTGGCCTCTGATTGATACATGGCTAGATTTACCTCGCTGCACCTTCTCTGTGAGTGACTGCAGTGTGACCTAGAGGAATGAGTCCCCTAGACAGGGGAGGGGGGAAGCAAATGAGTACAAAACAAATCTGGTCTATTTCTTGTTTTGATCCACTCCATCTATCTTTTACATCTTTGGCTGGCAGCAGACGGTGCAGAAGGACTGCATGCCATCCACATCTCATGGCTGCTCGGCAGAAGATGGTACAGTACGACTGCTAGCCATCCTCATCTCTTGCCTGCCCTGCAGAAGATGGTACAGTACGACTGCTAGCCATCCTCATCTCTTGCCTGCCCGGCAGAAGATGGTACAATACGACTGCTAATAATCCGTATCGCCTGCCTGCTCACCATAAGACGGTTCAATAGGACTGACTGGAGGACTAAAGAGAATGACCTGGTCAAGTCACTCCAAATTTAGTCCCTGCGCCCATGTCTGTCCAGGCGCTCCCAGCCGACGTGGCCAGGAGCACCTCGGACACGACAATGACAGCTACCAGTCGTATTGCACCGTCTGCTGCCAGAAGGCAATGGGTTGCTGCTACTGTGTAGCAATGCCGTACCGAGTCTGCCAGCACCCAGGAGACATACGGTGCTGGTTACCTGAGCGGGTTCCATGCTTGCCGTGGTATGGCGTCTGCACAGGTAACTCAGGAAAAAAGGCGTGAAACGATTGTCTGCCCTTGCTTTCACGGAGGGAGAGAGGGAACTGGGGCCTGACGATATGTACCCAGAACCACCCGAGACAATGTTTTGGCCCCATCAGGCATTGGGATCTCAACCCAGAATTCCAATTGGCAGCGGAGACTGCAGGAACTGTGGGATAGCTACCCACAGTGCAACGCTCTTGAAGTCGACTCTAGCCTCGGTACTGTGGAAGCACTCCGCCAAGTTAATGCACTTAGAGAATTTTCTGTGGGGACACACACACTTGAATATATAAAACCGATTTCTAAAAAACCGACTTCTATAAATTCGACCTTATTCCATAGTGTAGACATACTCTAAGTCTCTATACAAAGAGAGGGAGAGGGAATAAGGGAATGTGTTGAAATGAAGACTTTGTTTTTAACTTTTTCATTAACATTTTCTGCTTAGTTCTTTGCTTTCTGCGTGTTTAACAAACAAAAAGAACAATTTCTTGCTTTGTGATGTTCAACAAGCAAAACCAAGTCCATGGCAACTCAAATTATTGTTAATAATTAGGAAGTAAGGCAATTAACAAACAGGGCAACTTAAAATTTGTAAAATCTGATAAATACCTATTGTACCTTTAACCCTCTCAGGTCCTCCACTGCCAAAATTATTTACAAATGAGTGGACATTCCTTAAAAAACTCAAGGAAGAACCTTATCATAATCCAACAGAAGCTCTGCTTCTCCACTATTCATGCCTCTATGGACAACTGACACTTCTGTAACAGGGCTAGGAGTGATTCCTTTCCTGGCAACCATTGTAGACTCGGCTTTATGGTGGGGGGATCAAAAGCCATTTGGGAAAATAATAGATGAGTGAGTTAGTATTTCTGCAAAACAGAACAATATTTGACCCTAACAGAGGCAAGGACCTAGCCAAACCCAGTCAGTGCTGCAGTCAAACGACCCAATTTTTCCTACCAATTTTTAATGTATCCAGTTGAACTTGCACAAAGAATCTATTTCTCTCTACCAGCCACTACACCAGCAGAGAGAGTTTATTTTTCTCCACCAGAGCCTAGCAGCGAGCATATGTTTAAACAGTCTGGCCTAAAGTATGGTCCTTTCATTTTTATTTTATTTCAATTCCAGATGAAATGTCTACCTTACAGGAAGGCAAGTTTTAATGAATGTACACTGCTCGCGTCCACTAAAGAAAGAATCCCCTAATCAGTCTCTTTTGAAAACACCACCAGAGACCATGGATAACTTATCAAAGCATATACCCTTTCCAAAACATGACATTTTGGAAATATATCTTGCTCTTGTTCTATTCTTCTGCAGTAATTCAAAGTTGGTGTTTTCATATTACTAGGGGTATTATTTATGCAAGATCCTGGTGATCTGACTTCTATATCAACCATGAGATAAACACCCAAGGTGTCCAGCAAGCCTCATTCAGAAAAATGTATTTACCTTAGCTTTGCATTACCTAAAGAGATACTCTTTTTGCAATAATCAAGATCAGAATGACAAACATATCTGACTTCAAAGAAATATAAAATAAGAAAGAACAGTGCCAAAGCCCTAATTTGTGTTATAGTAGTTTCAGACTTTCATATGTGGGAGGAATACCGTTTAAGGAAAAGGCCAACAGTTACACAGTATACATAAATAAATACAAGTGATTTACATTCTTTATAATTTGATGTCATTGCAACCTCTAGTGTATTACACTTGAATGTCTCATTAAACAAACTTTCTTTGAAGTCAAGAAAGTAGCATATTTTTAAAAAGCCATAAAGTACACCAAAATTTAAATATTTACAACAGGCTTTAAGTTCCAGAAAAAAAATACACCTCCTATATAACAATATTGGATGTTTACCAATGTGAGATTGACTGACTTCCAACCAGTTGGTGGTTGGGACCCTGAATTTCTAGAGGCAAAACTAGTAAAATATTTCTTAAAAAGCTGAATTCTTAATTAATCCTGTGCTTCATGAGCCAAATATTAACATAACTGTTTAGAGAAAGTTACGTTTTCTCAAATGTATCCTAAGATATACACAAATATCTCACAGTACAGTTAAAGCCCTTATAATGGGTTAAATAAAGTTTTCCATGGGCCACTTATACAAGGAAATGTTAGGTGTTTTTCAGAAAAAAAATAACTGAATAAATTCAGTCTTCACTTGCCCCTCAGCCCCCATAACAATCATCAGGCCACACTCCCATGCACAGATTTACCTACCAGAAGCCACGAAGTACTGAGGAGAATCTCCATAAATACCCACTGTGCCTGGTCCCAAGGAGTCAGTCAGGATATTCACAAGAGAAAATATTCCACTCATGATCCCAAAACCCAGGCCAGACACTATACAAAGAAAACACACAAACACAGAAGAGACTAATTACAAGTCTTTAGAAATCCTCACATTACCTGCAGGTGGCAAGATTTTATAAGTGAAGTCATATTCAAAGACCAAAGAATTCTAAGGAATCTCTCCATTTCGTTCCTACATTCCATTTTTATTGGAAACCAATTAGTTCTAAGTATTCTTCTCCTCCTAAAGAATTTACATAGGACTTTACATCTTCAAAGTGCTTTACAAACATCAAGCAACACTCACAATTCTGCTGTGAAGTGAACAAATATAATTATCCCCATTGCCTCAAGATGGAAGTGGAAGAGAGCAGTTAAGTGATTTTTCAAAGACCATAGAGCGAATCCATGTCAGAGCTAGAATCAGAACTTGGGTATTATTGTCTCCTCTCAATTGATGGCAGTTTCATTAGAAGAGACAAGGACAAAATGGGCTTGGAGACTGAAGCGCCATCTCACCCCAAAAGGTAACAGGTAGGTTGCAAGGTCAAGGTTGAGATATGCTGGCTGCCTCACGTGGGCACTGACATTGCATCTACTATAGAACATCTCTTCTACAGAGAGATAACTTCATTTTTCAGAGCTGTTAACGTGTTATCTTTCACAAGTGCTAAATCCACATGATTTTTTAAAAAAGGATAATATATTTCTTTTTTGAAAACTATAGAGACTGAACTTCATCGAAAGATATATACAGAATTAACATAATGCTTCATGACAAAGTAGAATCATAGTTTTACTGCATCTCATATTTCAGCACAACCCTGGTCATCTTCACACAAATGACCTGAGCTCAAAAAAAAAAAAAAAGATCTTGAGAAACAGTGTGGTCTTGTAGATTAACCATAGAATTGGGAATATGGAATTCCTGAATTCTAATACTCATTCTCACAGTAACTGCCTCTAGGATCTTGGGCAAGTTTTTTTTTTTTACAAAAGTCAATTTGCCCATTTATGAAGTAGGGATGAAAATAATTACCTAACTCCTGGGGCATCTGTAAGAATTAATTAGCCAACGGTTGTAAAATGGCTGTGAATTTGAGAAAATAATTCTTAGCAATTGTAGTGCTTTCCATTAACAACTTTCTTTTGATGTTAATGATAAAATTATTTTGATACCTTTTGCCTTACGTAAACTGAACATCTATAAAGTATGTTTTTAAATGCCTGTTGGAGTCTACAAGACTTTGTGAAACAAATAAAAACGAGTAGCAAATAAACACACAGTCTGCTTGCAAAAGTTAACATTTTCTGTGACTATAATATTTTACAAATGATCTTTTTTTTCCTAACATGACTTTTTGGGGTACATGTTAAACAGTTTTGACTGCATTTCAGCTTACCATAGGACAACTGTCTGACAGAGATGGGTATGGTTTCCTCCTGGCTTATAGTCGTTAAGCCCTTATTAGCTTTTCTGAAATAAAGACAATATTTTTAAAAGTAATATTTTAATCTCCATACATTCTATTTTTCAACTTTGCTACTTCAAACTAGTCAGATCTTATTTTTAAACATCTAAATGAAACACGAAAGCCACTTAAATAATTATATGCAAAGGATGGGAGGAGGCTTTTCAAAGCAAAGGTCACCAGAATTTTTCAACATGGGCAAAACAACTTATTTTCTCATAGTCTCATTCTCAGAAATGGTTGAAATATTTTGGCTGAAATTTTTTCCAGAAAAATTCACCCTGTGGTAGACATCCAGCATGGACAATTTCAGACCATGTGGTTGAAGATGGGCAAAGTTATACACAACTGAAAACAGGATATTATAATAAGACGTGTTGGGCAGCCTTCATAATAGATGGTGCTACCAGCCCCACCTATAATATTTTAGTTCTGCGTAAACAGACCCAGGAAAACCTAAGCCAAACTTTTCGGCCTATTCAGTGGAATTTCTAATGGGGGGAGGGGGTCAGCTCTAACAGTTAGTATATCTTGGTCCTGATCCTGCAAAGACTTACTCATATGCTTAAGTTAAATAACTTAAATGGGATTGTTCACAGTGCATAAAGCTAAATATATGCTTAATTCTTTGCAGGATCAGTGCCCATGTCTGTACTCTTTTCAGGGACTCAAATGTTAAAACCTCAAATTAATGCCAAGTACCTTAAGAATCTTTGTCCAAGCAAAATTTAGTTTACTAATAAGAATCTGGAAAGATTTGTTAGAACTTGTTACAGGTTTTACACTAATTATTCTGATGCCAAGAACAAAAATAAAGATTTTCTTCTGGTTTACCTACCCTCATTCACTGGTCTTTGAAATAAAACTGCCTAAGCAGATACTTTGATTATTTTGCAAATATTTTTAGCCAACACCTAAATATTGTGAAGCCACTTGTAAACGATGGATTTGATATCTGATTCTTTTGCAAAAATGGTAGCAGTGGAGAGTAACATTTGTGTCTCGTGAAATGACACCACTTATATCATCATGTAATAATCACGAGTTGTGCATGCATTTCTTATTGAGGTCAGTGAGACAAGCTGTTGTTCTTGCAGTCAGCCATGTTCACTCAACTGCTGTTTCTACAGCATTCACAGGATGTAAATTATCATGATCTAAAATGCTACCATACGACACTATTACTCAGTTCCCCCAGTTTTCCAGCCTAATTTTGTATTCAGGCTTAGGTGGAATTTAAAGAAATAAAAACATTGTATTTTAAAACTTTTTCCTAGATGCTATATTTCTCAGACTTCATTTTGCTAAGGGATATAGGATCAAAGATTTAATCTGAGTTTTTAATAACTAAATTACTGATATAGCAGTGAGGAATCAGAAATTCTGGAAAACTCAAAAGTGGGGGATGACAATAATTCACAAAAATGTCAAGAAACAAGGCTGAAACACTGGAGTTTGTTCTAATTAACAATCAAGATTTTTTTATGGAGATCATTGACAGATGAGACCCAAGTTATTTATTTTTAAATTCTTTCTATACCCAAGGGTAGTCTTATTATAGGAAAGATAACACTCATACATTGATAAAAATAACAAACCCAACAGACAAATTAATCTTCAATCTGAAGATAGTACAACACTTTCAAATCTGATTTTCAAGTCACGTTTAGAAAGTTTTCTTTGTAACATAAGGACTTCAAACTTATTAAATCCCCAACTATGCAGAAACTGGTGAGGCCGTAAGAGGAGTGCTGACATACTACAGGCTACCTATTCAGTACGATCCTCGAAAGAGGAAGGGTACGTCTTCACAAGCAACGTTAAAACGCTGCTGTGGCAGCACTTTAACATGGCTATGTAGTTGCGGCACCAGTGCTGGGAGAGTGCTCTCCCAGAGCTGTAAAAAAACCACCCCCACTGGGGGAGCAGCTCCCAGCGCTGGTGCACTGTCTACACTGCCACTTTACAGCACTGAAACTTGCAGCGCTCAGGGGGGTGTTTTTTCACACCCCTAAGCGAGAAAGTCGCAGCACTATAAGTGGCAGTGTAGACAAGGCCTAAGAGACACCAGAAACATTTAACTTACTTTAACAGTTTGTAATAGGCAAATCGGAAGACTTCCTGGAGCAGGACAGAGAACACCACTCCAAAGATGAGCAAATTTTTCTTTACTGATGCACTATTGCTCCCACCAATCTGCACTGCAATGAACCATACAAGGGAAGAAAGCAGCAACGAGACCAGCCAGAAGAAACCTCTAGAGTTAAAAAAAAAAAAAAAAGGAAGGGGAAGCAGGGAAGAGAGGAGACAATCCATCATTCATACTATTCAATTACCAAAAAAAATAAATAAAAAGATTCCATAGCTTGTGTATTTAAATCTCTAATAAGGGACTCCTCAGTGCAGCGGATGCATTGACAAGGGAGACCTGTCTTGAAGTGGGTGACAAAGTAAACATACCCTCCCACAGACCCCATTTACCATGCTAATAAATTATTTGAAAAACTAATTTTAAAAACAGCTTAGACTAACAGTTTTACCCCCAATGTAGACAGAGCATACTGTGATTAAAATGGTTTCAGAAAACCATTTGAGAGCCTTGACTATACAAGGAAACTGAACTGTTGCAGGAAGTGGACTGACCACTCTCAATCATGCTGCCTGAGACAACAGTGAAAAGGTTTTGACTGGGCTATGTTATTTTCCATAGGAGTAATAAGGGCACTGCTGCAAAAAACTATTTTTGCTAACATCTATTTCCTACCAGAGCCAAGGCACTTGGGAATGGCTCCTAGACATGGTTTTAACCCTGATCTTTGGGAGCAAATTCTTGGTAGCATAGGGTTGTCATCATTGCTATGTGGTCTATAGCACCCAGGCGTTCACCCAACTTAGAATCACAACTGTCTGGACACGGCCCCCCTCCAATCCTTATTCTCCAGTGATACCCCTACTCCTGTTGTCTGCTTCATATCAACATCACTAAGGGCTATCACTGGAGAATGTGATCCTTTAATAAGGGTTAGTCCTCTAGTGCTCTCCAAGGCTGGAGTGGGGGCTAGGGTCCCCCACATGTGCCACTAAACCCAACTTCCTGAAGTGCGGGGCTCATACCTTAGTACTAGGATGGTGTTCCCCACACCCCTAACTTCCCCCTAACTGGGGTGTGTGTCAGACCTTTGTGGGGGAGGGGAGAGGTCCTGCTGTTTTACAGAGACGCAACCTCTCTCCGGCTTTAGTGGATCAGGAGGCTGATACACTCAGGTGCGATCTGAGGTCACAACGTCAAATACAGTCTAGGTCTGGGGGTTTCTCCCGCCGGGAGGTGGGATTCGTGCCACAGGGTGGGGTCAGGGGGCTTCTACCATCAACAGCAGAGGGCGGGCAGCCCCCGGGCTGAGGACAGTCTCGGGGTATCTCCTGTCGGGGTGGCGGAGAGAGAGGGGCTGACGCCCGAGGCAGGAGGACTAGGGGTTCCTCCTGTCAAGGCGGGGAAAGGGGCTGACGCCCGTGGGGGCGGGGAGAGCTAGGGGCCTCCCCACCTGCCGCTGCCCAGGCGCTATGTCACTGCCGAGCGGCCTCAGGAGGCCCCAGGCAGCTGTCGCTCCCCTCCCCCCAGGCCCGGCCCGGCCCGGCCCGGCCCGGCTCACCCAGCGATGAGGAAGAACAAGGCGCAGCGGTTCGGCGGCGATGGTGCAGACGCACAAAGCCAGCGCCGGCCCGAAGGCGATGAGGCTGCACCCAATGAACACTGCCGCGGTCATGGCTGAGGAGCCTGGACACGCCCCCAGGCCAAAGCCACCGCTGCTGCTGCCCCTTGGTGGGCTGGAGCCCGACCCAGGGCTTCGGCCTCGCGCGGGCGCCACCCCGTCTCCCCCCCGCGCACACTCTGGCGGAGGGAACAGCTGAGCCCTGGCGCCCACGCAGGGAACCGGCTCACTGGCTGGGGTGTGGCTCCTCAGAGCAGCGCATTCTCCCCTCCCCCCCCCCGCAAGGCCACAGGACCACAGCCCTCGTGGTGGGACCAGGGCTGGCAGGGGGAGGTGGGAGACGTGCACGTGGGGCGGGCTCAGGGTGAGCCTGAGGACTTCATAGAATCATAGAATATGAGGGTTGGAAGGGACCCCAGAAGGTCATCTAGTCCAACCCCCTGCTCCAAGCAGGACCAATTCCCAGTTAAATCATCCCAGCCAGGGCTTTGTCAAGCCTGACCTTAAAAACCTCTAAGGAAGGAGATTCTACCACCTCCCTAGGCAACGCATTCCAGTGTTTCACCACCCTCTTAGTGAAAAAGTTTTTCCTAATATCCAATCTAAACCTCCCCCACTGCAACTTGAGACCATTACTCCTCATTCCGTCATCTGCTACCATTGAGAACAGTCTAGAGCCATCCTCTTTGGAACCCCCTTTCAGGTAGTTGAAAGCAGCTATCAAATCCCCCCTCATTCTTCTCTTCTGCAGGCTAAACAATCCCAGCTCCCTCAGCCTCTCCTCATCACTCATGTGTTCCAGACCCCTAATCATTTTTGTTGCCCTCTAGCTGTGTCATAGGAGTCAGGCTGGAGGAGGGCTGGGCTAGCCCTTTCCAGCACAGTCCTCACTACTGCTGGCTTGAGGTGATGTATGCTTAGCACCAGCTCCTTCAATAGTCCCTTGACAGTAGGAGCCACCACAACCCCCTGGGTCCCCATCAAGCTGCTGGCTATAAAGCCTACAGGGCCAGTGCACTACATCCTAAAGACAGACAGTGTTTTTGCTTACTAGGTAAGATGATCACTAGGTTATGAAGTGATAGTGAGCAACTAGCTCAAGAAAAGAACTCCCCTACATTCGTCCAAAAATCCTAGCCTTCACCTAAGAACTCATGCTAACACAGCTATACAGGAAGGGAAGGGCTGGACATATGTTGCCTGGAAAAAAAAAAAAGATAAGTAACTTAAGGAACTGGAAACATTCTTGATTATAATGAAATATGCTAAATATACCTGTCATGCAGCTTAAAAAAGGAGATCCTGAATTAAATAAGAAAAACTGGAAGTTCAGTTTGGGAAGCAGAAGGTAATTTTTCCCCTCTATTTAGTCACATGGATGAACTTGTCACCATAAAAACTCCAGTCAAGACAAACACATAGCTGAAGTCTTCTTAGAGAAGCCCCTGAAAATTTATAAGAGTTTAATGAATGTAGCACTTATGAAAGGTGCCTTCTTATTTATTCCAAGATGAGGTAGTGAATAGGCAGCAATAGAGGCCCTTCCACACTGCTACAGAGTGCCAAGACTAAGTTAGAGGGGCCACTTAATTTAAACCCTGTCTAAAGTGGTCATGTTTTCCTACACAGATGAGCTCCAGCTGACCTAACTTCAACATTATTTGAATTTGAGGGATTATTTCCCCTGTATAAGGCTTCAGGGATCCTAGTGGTCATTTTGTAATGTGCATACTCCACTCCTCTGCAGATAGGCCACGGAATAGCCAGATTCAGAAAGAGTACAAGAAAAGAGTTTAAAAATCAAATGGAGGAAGTCAACAGCCATTACTGAGTGTTCACAGAACTCCTTTACATTCAGCTGGAAGGTGATATCTTCATGCAGAATTACAGGAGAGAATATAATACTGTAGCTTCAAGAGCAGAATTTACAAGTCAGCTCCTTCCTCTATTGGCAGAAAGATAAATAAAAGAGAAAATTTTAACTGACCAGAGTAGTGGATTACATCCCACTGAAAGCCATATGCTCAACAAATCTATAGAACTAGTTTCATAAAGAGCAAGCTAGAAAAGAATGGTTTCAGAGTAACAGCCGTGTTAGTCTGTATTCGCAAAAAGAAAAGGAGTACTTGTGGCACCTTAGAGACTAACCAATTTATTTGAGCATGAGCTTTCGTGAGCTACAGCTCACTTGAGCTGTAGCTCACGAAAGCTCATGCTCAAATAAATTGGTTAGTCTCTAAGGTGCCACAAGTACTCCTTTTCTTCTTTCTAGAAAAGAATGGTACATTTTAATGCAACTGGGATTCACTAAGTTATTACATAAGCATGTTGTTGTAATTCTACATTTATTATGCTTGGAGAAGGTCCTATATGGGTACAAAGAAAAGGAGTACTAGGGGCACTTTAGAGACTAACCAATTTATTTGAGCATAAGCTTTCGTGAGCTACAGCTCACTTGATTAAGTGAGCTGTCGCTCACGAAAGCTTATGATGGAATAAATTGGTTAGTCTCTAAAGTGCCCCTAGTACTCCTCTTCTTTTTGCAAATACAGACTAACACGGCTGCTACTCTGAAACCTGTCATTATATGGGTACAGTCATCTCTGGCAACTTAACACGGATATGCCCTCCATTGAGAATATGCAAAAAAAATTTTGAGAAAGAAAAAATTAATATGTAGTGTATCATAGTAGACGGTTGAAAAGTAAACGCTATGTAGAGTATACAGCAGTAACTTTTAGTGGTTGCGATTCCATGTTCCTTCACCAACCTCTACCTCGGCTAGTAGATAAACACCTTTATTCAAACTGGTCTTGTAAAAGAGCTCCATTTATTTTTGTCGTGTCTTGATGATAATTTTTTAAACACTATTTATACCATAATGAATAAGTGTCACCACTGTATACAAGATCCCTAAGAAGTATTTTAGAGTTTTTAAACCACAGTGGCAAACTAAATAAAAGGGCTTTACAAAAAGTTTCTGATTATAAAAACTGAAGAGTTTTCACATAAGCAGTTACCTTGTGCAGTAATGACGTTTCTTCGAGATGTGTCCCCCTATGGGTGCTCCACAGTTGGTGTGTCTGTGTCCCTGCACTGCTGATTGGTCACAGTCTGTACCGACCGTGCATGCACTGTTCCCGCCTGTCATGAGGCTAGCCAGCACCCACAGGCAATCCCTCCTTAGTTCCTTCTCTACCCCAGAGTCAACTACTAGAATTCTGAAGTAAAGGGAGGAGGGTGGGTCCTGGAGCACCTATAGGGACACATCTCAAAGAACCATTGTCACTGCACAAGCTGAGTAACTTCTTTTTCTTTTAATAGCGTCCCTATGGGTGCATCCCGGTAGGTGACTCCTGAGCAGTGCCCACCACTGGAGGCTGGGGCTTCAGAGTCAAGTCTGTTATAGATGATCGCACCAACTCCGAATCTGCATCTGCAGCCAAGTCCCTGAGGATGGCATAACGGTCTGGAAAGGTATGGGCAGATGACCAGGTAGCCACTCTGCAGATTTCAGATATAGGGATACCCTTGGAGAAGGTGATGGAAGAGAAGACCAATCTCGTAGAGTGAATATGTATTGAAGATGGGGGTGCTACATTATGCATCTGGCAACAGAGCTTGATACAGTTTGATACCCATTTGGAGAGCCTTTGAGTTGAAACTGCTATTCCTTTTGATTTATCTGCAATGGAGAGGAAGAGAGTGAGATTTTCTGAAAGCTCTTGTTCTGTACAAATAGAAGGTCAAGGCTCTCCTCCCCCTGAGTGTATGGAGGATGGCTTCCCTGTTATCCTGATGAGGTTTAGGATAAAAGGTCAGAAGTTGAATAAGTGGATTTATATGAAAAGCGGAAGTCACCTTGGAAGTGAACTTCAGAAGTGGTCTAAAAAAGCGATCTTGTTGGAGAAGTTTCAGAGTAACAGCTGTGTTAGTCTGTATTCGCAAAGAGAAAAGGAGTACTTGTGGCACCTTAGAGACTAACCAATTTATTTGAGCATAAGCTTTCGTGAGCTACAGCTCACTTCATCGGATGCATACTGTGGAAAGTGTAGAAGATCTTTTTATACACAAAGCATGAAGAAATACCTCCTCCCACCCCACTCTCCTGCTGGTAATAGCTTATCTAAAGTAAGGAGAGTGATCACTTTAGATAAGCTATTACCAGCAGGAGAGAGGGGTGGGAGGAGGTATTTCTTCATGCTTTATGTGTATAAAAAGATCTTCTACACTTTCCACAGTATGCATCCGATGAAGTGAGCTGTAGCTCACGAAAGCTTATGCTCAAATAAATTGGTTAGTCTCTAAGGTGCCACAAGTCCTCCTTTTCTTGTTGGAGAAGAGCACAGTGAAGTAGGGGAATGTGCCCTCAGAGCTATCATCTCCCGTATCCTTCTTGCTGAGATAATGGCGATCAGGAATGCTGTCTTTATGGAAAAGTGAGTGTGACGGTGGACCCCCTAAGGCTTTATGGAAATATGCTTATATATGAATGAATGAATGACATAACTGGAATAGGTTTTATGCTACATATGCCATGTAACATCTCTGTAAAGGTTATGATCTACTGAATTTATTCATCCTATTTGTATGCATGTGTCATTATTGTATTCGAAGTCATGAATATTGCTGTATATATGTTTGATTTTAAATAGCCTTAGTAATTTAAAAGTGCCTTAAAAATGCCTTAGTAAGGCATTTAGTCAGCTTCTTTAGAAAGGAATTTGCAAGTTAAGTGCCCAGTCAAGAAGCACTTAACCGACAATGGATCTTGAAAGGCTTCAACCCACATAGCTGAGTATCCTACCTGCTGGTGGAAGGTTGAAAGTGCTGCTAAGTGAACCTTTACTGAGCTGATAGTTCAGGAGCATCGGTAGTGTGGCTGCATTCAGGTTGATGCCTTTGGGCTGACACCAGATTTGATCTCTCTTCCATTTTTGTAGGTAGGTACAAGTAGCTCCTTTCCTACTGTGTAACAACACCTCCTGTACCACTTCAAAGCATAATATCTTTGTGTGTTGGAAACATGAAGGAGCCAGATATTTGAGTTGCAGAATTTGCAGGTTGGAATGGAGAGTGCACCCCTCATTCTGTGATAGCAGGTACTGAGTGATTGGGAGAGTTATCGCTGGACAGTGTTAGCTGTGACAGGTAAGGGTACCACATCTGCCTGGGCCAGGTAGGAGCAAATCAGGATGATGTTTGTTTTTCATTCTTTTCACTTTCAACAGGACTTAAAGAATTAGAGGGAATGGGGGAAAGAAATGTAAAGACGACCCCTGTCCCATTGAGGAGGAAGAGGAGGAGGAGTGTCCCCCATGGAGTGTTGTCCAATCCCTGGTCTGGAGCAGCAGTACCAAGGACATTTCTTGTTCTGATAAGTAGCAACCAAGTCTCCTGTCAGTGTCCCCCATTGCTGGAATGTCATGTAGGACAAATCACATTTATATCCCATTCATGGCCGAATGGTAACTTTGGGTTGAGGTTGTCCACTGTCATGTTGCATACTCCTGGCAGGTAGGTGCTGATATTAAGGTAGTGTGGGAAATGCACCAGTTCCATAACTTTAGTGCTTCCATGCACAGGGAATGAGATCTGGTGCCTCCCTGGTTTATGTAATACGTGCAGGCCACACTGTCAGATATGACTTTCGTGTGCATGTCTGATCAGTGGGGTGGGAAAAGAACACATGCGTTTGACTGCTCTGAGTTTGAGCAGGTTGATGTGAAGGCATGTCTTGGATAGCAAACATTTGTCTTCACTGGGAGACCATTGAGATGCACACCCCATCCTATGAGGGATGCATTGGTGGCAAGAGTAACAATGAGGGAGGCTGAACAAATGGGATTCACTGATCTTTCCACCAGTCCAAGGATTGCTTGACTGCAATATAATGTGTTTATGCTGTCTCTGTTTGGCCTGCAAACTAAACAACCAGGCTTGGAGGCATCTCATGTGTAGTCTGGCACGAGCTGTGACTGATGTGCCCGGGGCCATATGCTGCAAGAGCTGGAGCAAGTGTCTGGCCAAAATTTGGGGGCTGATTGTATTGTCTCCAACAGCGTGGAGAGGCTGAGGAACCTGTGATGTGGGAACAGCACCTTCGCCTGGATGGAGCGGAGGTTGGCTCCTATTAATTCTAGTCTTTGTTCCAGTGTTAGTCAATTTTGTGCATTCATTTGTTGACCCAGATTCAGTGTAGCCTGGGTGACTTGCTGGCCTTTGGTGAAAGAACATGCCCCAAGAAGGCAGTCGTCCAGGTAAGGCTAAATCATGATGGCCTCAGAGCATAAGGGGGCTGCCACTACTGAGAGAACCCTGGTGGCTGATGAGAGGCCAAAAAGGGAGTACTCTGTACTGATAGTGGTCTTGGTCTAGCGTGAATCTGAAGCAATGTCTGAGACCCAGTATGATGGAAATTTGGAGGTTTTGAAGGTCGAGGGCCGAAAACCAATCTCCTTTCTCTAATGCTGGAATAATCATTGATAGGGTGACCATCCTGAACTTGTGTGCCTTGATATATCTGCTGAGTACTCCGAGGTCCAGTATGGGTCTCCAACCTCCTTTTTTCTTTGGTATTAGAAAGTAATGAGAGTAGAAGCCTTTGTCTCTTAAGATGTCTGGGCACAGGCTCTATGGCTCCTACGCTGAGGAGATGGTTTACCTCCTGACGTAGCAGACTTTCATAAGAAGGGTCCCTGAAGAGGAACAGGGAAGAGTGTTTGGGAGGAGGGAGGGGAAGAGAAATGGATGATGTATCCATCCTGGATGATCTCCAGCACTCACTTGTCAGAGGTTATCCATTTCCAGGTGCTGCGGAATGGGGTAAGACCGTCTCTGAAGGGATGGGTGGGGTTTTCCAGCACAAGACGGCAAGAAGAATGTTCTACAGGCACCTGACCAACCCATCAAAAAACAAAACATTTTGAGGTGGAGGGCTGAGAGGAAGTTGGCTGAGATCCTGACTGCTTTCATCTGGGGAACCTAGGCTTCTTCCTCTGTGGCTCGAAAGATCTCTGTGACAAGAAGGGAGATGTGTATTGTGATGAGTGGGGCTTGAACGGTGGCTGAGGGCTGTACTTTCTTTTGTAGGCAGGAGTATAGACTTTGAGGGATCAAAGAGTTTCCCTACAGCCCTTCAACGTGTGAAAGGATGTGTCAGTCTTCTCAGCAAATAACTTCGTCCCTTCAAAAGGAAGGTCTTCCACTGTAATTTGGACCTCTTTAGGGAAGCTGGATAAATGAAGCCCATCTCATCTCTGCGGCTATGGAAATCAAGCATGCCACCACGTCAGCTGCATCTAGTGTGGACTGAAGGGATGTTTTAGCCACCAGTTGTCCCTTGTTGACTAAGGCCTTGAATTGATCCTTGTGAGAATCAGGCATTTGCTCAATAAAGGTGCCGTAGGTACTGATGGAGCCGGACAACATTTTGGCTCCATTAGGGCTCACTACAGGCACTAACAGATCTTTTATTAGAGGCCTTGTGTGAGTGGTTTGTCTTTCTGGCTCTCCTCCCTTTGAAGTAGAGGATTGTGGTGAGAGTTCCTGCTGGGACTCCGGCAGTTGAAGGCCTGACTCTGAGTAGGATTTTGAGTCCCAGTGCTCTGTCTTTCCTAGATCTAGGCTTCAGTTGCTGATGCAAGCCCAACTTTTATGGAATGTACTCTCCCAGGCAGCAAACACACTGCGAGTGTCCATCAGTCAATGGGATAGATTCCTTGCAACTGAGACACTTTTTGAAGCAGAGCATACCCTTGTCCGGGGTGGGGGGTCACCCACAACAGGGTTGGTGGAAGACAAGCCCTTTCTTTTTCCCAGGCACAGCCCAATAAAAATACAAATGAAGTAACAAAGAAAAAGCTTCAAGGGAAGCTAAAATTAGCTAGTCTAAAAAAAAAAAAGAGTCACTCCACAGACAGCTAGAACTCTGTCTCTAGCCAGGGGCGGTTCAGAAGGAACTAAGGAGGGATTGTCTGTGTACACTGGCTAGCCTCATGGCAGGCAGGGAGCAGCGCCTGCACAGGCAGGACAAACTGCTACCAAAGGTCTCTGATCAGCAGCATGGGGATGCAGACACCTACAGTGGAGCATCCATAGGGACACTACTTGAAGAAGTCATCTTTTTTGGGACAGATGAGGCACTAAAGTGAAACTAAATTTTACCCAAATAAAGATGAGAATTACACAAATTTTAATAAAAGCACCATTTTCTTTAAAAGGATAAAGTTTCTATTGGAAACTGAGGGAAGAGACTAGAATAACTGAATATATACAAAATAAGATGCTGTTGTAGGGGGAAAATGAATTTATTATTATATCTCCAAGACTTGAGACAAAAGGCTTAATTATCAGATGCGCTGAGCATCAAAAACCAATTCAAATCAGGAGCTGCAAGTTATCAGCACATCTAAAAACCTGGCCCTAAGTGTGCAGTTCTCTAACCGGTCTTTAGGTGATTCACAGAAAGCAATAGCGTGAATGAGCAATGGGAAGGTGGTGTCCATGACAGGAGCGCTTACGAAGTAGTTCTCAGAATGAAGAAGTTGGATATCTTCTTGTGTTACGCTATGTCAAAGGACATGTAGAAGGAAGATTTTAAGCAACTGTTAGGCACTAGTTGCATTCAATGGTAAAGATGTAGTTGTGATATGTATTTGCACTGTGTCCAAGTGAGAATCCAACTGGGAGGCAGAAAAGGTAGATAAATAGGTATGTTATGATGCCATTGGCAGAATCTGAATTCAGTAGAGGTTTTAAGTTTGGAGACCAGAAGTAAGGGTGATGACTTCTGGGGAAGATATTTTTAAAATAAAGGATACTGATATTATAGAAAAAAGTGTTAAGACAAGATGTCTTTTGTTTGTTCAATCTTTTCCCAACTAGTCCCTGTTTAAAATTACAAGTGCATTGCTTAGATACGTGTGACAAAGTGAACAGTATTAATTGCCAAGTTCAGTACTGCTAGTAATACAATTGTTAGCAATTACTTTTGTCAGACACCTTAATACTCTTTCAGCATTTGAATTAGCCTGGGTAGTCCTAGTATTTGCTGGGTCAGTCAATTGTATGTGCCTCAGATTGCCAAAGTCTGCTGAAGAATGAAAGACTTTTCTCCCCCTCACATAAGCTTATTTAATCACAAATGTTAGAGATTGACTAGATGGCCCAATACTGTCCACTTCTTCCCCACCCCACTTGTCTCTCTGGTAATGCAGGATTGCACCCCACTTTACATTTACTAGTGTTTGTCTAGTCTTGCTTTCAACATATGCTTTGGGAGAGTATTCCCACTCCCTAACACATATCTTTAAGTTACTCAAGTGTTCCCTCCTAGTAATCACCTTAAAACTTCCCCTTGTTCTGATGCAGAAGGAATTAGAATAGGGATAGAAGTTCTTGAAGAAGCTACTCCAAAAAAGAGTCAATTTCAGAAGCAAGCAGGCTAAACAAAACCTCAGGCATGAATTAAATTGGACCCTCTCCAACGTAATCATGTGTTAGAATAGAGTGGAAATACAACTTGCATAAGATTGATTACACGGAGTTACTTCATAGAAGAAACTGAATATTTTTCATTATGTAATTTTATTTGAGATGCACATTGTTGTAAAAAAAGTTCACATGGAATAATAAAACCATTCTTTTTTAACACCGTATCAGTACACAATTAATGATTAAGTTTACAAGTTAACATGACAAGTCCACTTTATCTGCAGGATTTTCACATTACGCCTTTGGAGCAGAGATAAAATGTGCTTAAACACACATATGGTAGAACAATTCTATTTGAAAATTAAGCATTTTCTTTAGGGCCATGCTTTTTAGTCTGAATTTAGTAACTGTATATTGCATTAAAATAATTGTAATCCCAAGGAAAAGTGTCATTTGCAAAATATATGTTTATAAGGCCATAGGAATGCACTAACATGTTTAAATTCACTGGTAACAAAGAAAAAGTGGGAAGTCCTGCCTTTACATGGCATTTTGAAGTACAAGGTATATTAAGAGTAGAGTAATGTGGCACAAGCAGCTCGGGCGCAGTAGAGGGAAGGAGCCAATATGTGCAAACAGCTTGTCCTTAAACTTTTACCTGGCAAATTTAACTTGATTATGTAATCAGATGACCGATGCATTTCCACAAATTAGCAACACATTTATGCACTTTACATGCTATTGGTATGTCTTCCAAATTGTTACCCATCAAGAGTTCACAGAAAAAAAAAATGTATTTCAAAAATACACCCCGCCCCCTCCACTTTTGGCTTGTGAAAATAATGGACTTGATTTCACTCGACAAACAAAAGACTAAAAGAGGAAATGCACTTGTGACAGGAAATACCTCATTTATAAAACTGCACTTTTCAAAAACCTTGACTAGTACTGTAGAAATCCCCACATTCAATAAAGGTAAAATTGCATTACATTTAATATGTGGTTTCGAAGTTTTAACATTAAACAAACTTCAAGAGATTTAATAACTAAACCTAAATCAAGTATTCTATGTCTACTCAACAAGAACTAAGCATTTTATGTGCATGGTTTGCTGATCACAGGATTGAAAGCTATAGCAAAAGAAGCATTGAGACCATATATTTTCAGGTTTTATTTTCTCACCATTTAGAAAAAAACAGAACACACTGCACAAACTGGGAGGGAAGGCAAGAGTTGTGGGGAGGAAACCCCTCACTTGACAGCAAGTAGGTTCTAGTCCTAATAAAACCCAAAGAAATGCCTGTGTTTCCTTAAAGACTAATGGAGGTCTTTAGAGCCAGGCAGGCTGCACATTTTCTGCTTTGTATAATGAATAATAGTTGGATCACCTTTGTTTTAATGGATATTAGAATGTTAGTTAGCTGAGGTATAGTCAGAGTCTTTCAAAAATTAAGATTATAGTCTTGAGTAAATTATAACAAAAAAAGACTGCACAAAACATTCATACTGGTATTAGAAAAACCTGAAGCATCCAGCAACTGATGCTCAGACATAAGTTATTATTTGTCTGCTTGCCTAAAGCAAAATATAGCTAGAAAAAGTTCCCAGTGAAACATAATCAGCTGATTTACATGCTCAAATACAGCACATTTTTCAATGTCTGACAACAGACTGTACGAGTAAAGAGGTCTATGTTGACCATTATCAAAAGTTAATATACTGATAAAGTGCGGCCCCTCAACCACTTAATACTGCTGAAAAAAAAAAAAAAATGTTTTACCTTATCCATAAGACCATAATGTTTTCACATGAAACTGGAATTTTTCAGTTTCAGCAGGGGACAGAAAAAATTATCTGTCACTAACTCCTTCTACAAATAGAGAAAGATGAGCATTATACGAACATTAAGCAAAGTGAAATATTTACTGCATCATTTTATCATGCATAAAGTGAATTTCCTATGGTCTTACCTCAAATTTATGTACAGTTTAGCATAGCTAAATGTAAGAAAATAGCAAGGATTTTTTCTTTTTAATACAACAGAGCAGATACCCCAATTTGCTGCTGCGTCAAGAAGCACTTTATAGACTCTCACTTACAGGCTCTTTCAAAAGGAAGTTCATGGAGACTAATCTTGTTTGTACACAGAACCAAACAGAAGGAAGACAGAGGAAATGCAACATAAGCAAAGCATTCCGTAAAAGTTACCAACCACAGAACATGTCAGTTTTGGTTTGCAGACAACTCCGAGATAAAAATCTGTGTGTTACAACACCAAAATAAGTCAGAGGTAAATTACTGAAAATTAACAACATTCATAACTGAAGTCATAACAGTTGCTGTATAGAAAGCATGTTGTTACCATACAGAAAACTTAACTGCATTAGCCTGTCCCAGAAAAATTTGAAGTGTAGGCCAGAGCAGCTAGGGTTGTTTTTGTTTTGAACATTTTTGCTAACTCAAAACTTTTGCTGTGCCTTCTAGTTCAGTAAGAATAGGAGATTGTGATTCACAATCTAATTACCAGGATCACTTTAATTATAATTAAGTAGCGGTGTGGGGAGAATGTGTAGAAAGCCACTTAAACTTTGGAGGAACCAGATGAAGTTTCTCAAGTCTGTTCAGGACACTAATCAAAGTCCTTTTTGGATTCACTGCTGATGGTCCACTGAATTAGTTTCAAAATATTTGAGACAGACCCCCAAGATGACAAATTCAATATCAGACATCCCAAACTGAAGCAGAGTGAAACATTAACATATTAAACAGCGGATTGGTTGTTACCACAAAGTTAACAAAGCAGACATGTCAGAAAAGTTAGCAGTTTGTCAACAAGCCAATCCATCTGCACCTTATAACCAAAGTGGTGGACTCTGTTAAGTTTGTAGTTAAAGCTAACAATTGTCAAAGTTTGGCACAACAAACTAAAGCACCAGTTTTAATCATTCATGGAGAAAGATCTGTGAAAAACAAGCAAGTGATAAAATACATAAACTAGCTTGCAGGTGTTCAGAGGAGTTAGAAAGGCAATTAAGTTTCAACTTGGCTTCTAGCAGTCTAAATCACTGTTCCAGTTTCTGATGATTAACTTCTATAATTGCCTGTGCAGACTGAAGGCTTTACACATTCAGTATCAGCTGCATAATATTGCATTATAAGCCGTGGTGTGCCATTTTCTTTTATGGGGGGGCTTAACAACTATAGTGACTACACAGGAAGCTAGTCTGTGCATGCCTTTGCCGTCAAGGGTCAAGGTTTAGAGGTGTGACACGAATATCCTCAGCTTTGCTGTAAGTCACCCGTAGGAGCTGCAGTTAACTCTTCATACATTGGAGAACAGAATCCAGGAGTTTTGAATACCCTCATTCAGCTTAGCTACCACAAGTCACTTAAGTGATAGCTAGGATGCCCACCTGTGCTATGTTGAAGATTTCAACTCAAGTGTCATCAGAAACCAGAATAAAAATAAAAAAGATGAGTTGGGCTAACAGGAGAAAACTAGGTGAAAAATGAATGACCACTGGGGGGTCATTCACATGCGTTAAGAGTGCACTCAACAAATGAGATAAGAACTACGTCTATTTAGAAGACAACTCTGCTCTAAAAAGATTCTCTTAAGTTTGGTAAAAACCAATAGAAAAGAAATATCCTACATTCAGAATAGAAGATGCAGTAGCTTCTGTATGAACGGATTTGTGCATTTGTGAGAAAAACTGACTAAAAACCTATACAAGTTCTTATATGCCAATTTGTTTTAATAAGCCCCATTACCTTAAACACATCCATATAGCAGACATGTTCACATGTGTAGAGCAAAGATTACTGGAGATGTGATTTAATCTATTCTTTCTGGCTTTTTAAAATAAATTTGTAAAATAAATTTGTAAAAGAATGCACAAATCTGTTAAAGAACTTACAGGACAATAAACTGTGCAAATACAAGTGTTAGATTGTGCAGTAACAGGCAATAAAAGGCTAATATGGATGTGCAAAGTTAAAAGAAATGTAGCAGCTTTTGCAACAGGCATTAAAACAGAAAGTAATGAAGAAAATTAAGTCCTGCATTTGTGTCTCCACTTCATTGCTTCCACATTTGAGAAAAAGGAGCCTGACAGGTCAATGGGCTTAGTGAGCAAAATCCACTTGATATTTTGTTTAACGCAGTCAACGTTCATTGAAGCTCTCAGCAGCAGCTTGGTGGTATTATTTCTGAGGCTTTGTGACCCCTGTGCTTTCAAAGAAGCAGAAAAGGTTTTTCTAAGTGTGCTGCAGTCTATCATTAGAAGTTCATCAAAGTAGCGTGCATCGAAAGAAGCTGCTCTTCTTCGATCGATTTTCAGTTATTTTCACCGGCCCACCAGCCCCTGGTGAACTGTTGTCGTTCTGCAAAAACAAAACTATGTTATGAATGGAGAAAAGCAGCCTTAGCACTCCCCCTTTTCCTTCACTCCTCAGCCTCCAAACCATAAGTGAAATATTGGCATCAACTGTTTTTTGTAAGCAGAGGGGCAGTTTTATTGGGTAACTGACAATTAATCTCTTGGGAACTGGATAGTTTGGAAACTCAAATTACCACATTAATAATGCACCCATATGAAAATCCCAGCCTGAAAGAATAGCCAATTGAGTTGCTAGGACAGTTTAGTGTGGCAAGGACCATCTTTATGATTTATGTGAAGCCTGCAGTACAGTTTTAGGACTTTTGAAATCTAAGTGTTCACTTAGTGTTCTAAGATTTATAAATATAAACTCAACAAGTACTATGCACCTCTTAGCAGGAAATGGTTGTTTAATGGTGGGAAAGAGATCCCATATGTATAATCTGTACAAAAGATGTAGACTGCTCAGGGATCCATGGAATTTAGCACACTAAAACATTATTTGTTCTTCTGAAGTTGTTTAACAAGCAAAGATATTGGAGGAACAAAGTTTGCAAAAATGGTTTGCATAACATTAATAGCACTGGCATAGCTAAATTATTGTCCACTGATAAGTGACAAAATACTGAAAATTGAAATCAAGTAGTTTACCTAGAAGGCTTGTGCCAATGTCCTTTTTTAGAAATAGGTAATGATGACTGATCATTGTTCTATGTATTCTGCCACTCCCATGCACAGAGGGCCCATACAGTAAGAGGATCTTACTGATCATGTAAATTTAGGGTCAATTCCCAAGCCTCTCGTGTTCAAGAGTCATTAAAGCAAACCATAGCTGAAACTTTAAGGTTAAACATTTTCCATGTTAAATACCTCATTGTGAAACGCATGTAGCTTTGCAAAGTTTCTTTTAACAAAGGTTTTCAGGCATGATATCTGCCTGAAGGTGTTTATTATTTTTTTGAAAGTGAGCAAAAGAGGGTCAGCTACTTTTGAGTATGAGAAGGAAATTTAACACTTCCTGAAAGGGGGAGGGGGGAGAGGGGAAATGCTATTTGTAAGAATAGCGCCATAGTAGAAACTTGTGCACATGCAGTATATTTTGCACAGTCCCCTAGTCTGAGCGAAAGAGTGAAAAGTAAAAGTAAAATAGAGACTGCTATAATGAATGCACACAAGGGGGCAGAGTGGAACCTTAACTCTGGTATTTCTCATTTACAGAAAGTTTCTGTGCAGCTTTGATGTTCTCTACATAGTTTTGTAGAGAATTTAATCACAAGTGCTGAACAGTAAGAGCAGCATTGCCTGCCTTCACTTGTAAATCGCAAGTCTATACAGAGTGATTCTTTTGCCAGTCACAAAGCTTCTGGTTAGATTACTGTAAAAACAGTGGGTTTTCCTAGAAGTATAAAACTGAAGTGTTTTAACACTGTCCTTGTAACAGCCTGCACCATGCACAGAGGTTCATGTATTGTGAAGCGAAAGGTACAAACCATTTTTCTGTTGAGTTTTGTCATTATATCCCGTGCAAGTGTGAAGAATGCCTGAAACCAAGGAGAAGGGAACATTAGAGACAAATGGTCTAATCTGGACAAATGGAGACAAATTGAATGGTCTTACATGTTTAGTAACCATGGTCTACAAAATATGCAATATTAAAAATTACATCAAAGGCACTAAGTGTGCAATGGATACTCTCTCATATGGCAATAGTCATGCTTTATAATCTGGTGTTTAGGTCAGCATCCTTCACCCCATCTTCTGCTGTTGAGCAGCCCTTCTACTGAGGCAGTTCACTGCTGTACATTAGACTGCTTTTCAAAGACTCAGGGCCAGAGTCCGAATTCAAACATGCAGCACGTGTATCAAGTTGTGTGCTGTGGTTAGAATCTAGCCTTTCAGGAGCACCATTCAAGGTGGAAAATCTCAAGAGTTAGCTTGTAACAGAAAATTCAAAAGCTCCATTTCCTTTTGTCCCTGCCAATACTTTGCACATAGGTTCCCAGCCAACCCACCTACTCCCACAGCCAAAAAACACTTTGGCTTGTTTGTGCCATGCTCTGTTTGACAGTTGGGCTAATCAGATAGGGATACAAGTTGAGTGATGGCCAGAGTTTATTTTTTAAGGCAACTAAAATCCTCAATTCTCAGGGACCAAAAGGAAAGTGGAATTTTAGATGAAGGCTTAGAACTGGAGACAAAGTTCTCAAGGGAAAGAATGGGAGTGAGTATGTGTCAGGGGGCTGAGGACGGGAAAGCATGCATTTACAAAGGAGAAAAAATGACAACAGCACAAACTGAGTTCCATACATGATTCACTTATTAACAGAATTAAGTGTTAACTTCTAGAAGTTAAGTGGCTGGAAAGAAGATTCAAGATTTACACATTACATTTGAGTCTGACATGCCTATTACAGGTCTTTATAAAATAAAGAGGAGAGGAAAACATGAAAATTCTACAAGTTAGCCAGGCAGCTAGCTTGGAGCTCTGGCTTTTGGTGCCAATGTATCCCCTGCATTTAATTATGAAGGGTAGGAATAATGCTTAAGTGTCAGGAGCATCCTGCAATTTCATCAGCAAAAAATACCAGAGTGAGTGAACAACTGGAATAAGGGACATGCTTTTATCTAAAGTCCACTCCTTATTATCCACTATTAATATTAACATTATTCATTTTCACAATTCTGAAGACCACTACAAACAGAAAAGCATTGGTATAGAGATAACCTTAAATAGGTCAAATGCTATCCCTGATGCAGGACAATGAAAACAGAAATCCATTCTAGCTATGAACTATATAATGTGCCACACACTTCTCAATTTACAAAATTACTTTAGTGGTATCGTATATCAGTTGAGCTATTTTTTAAAATGCACATGTTAATTTCCACAATTTCAAGTTCATAATTGTGAACTTAATGCTTATTGAAGCCTCAAAAACAAGAGAGTGTACCCTCCCTTTTATATATTCTTTGGAAAGCTTTTAGAACGCAGCGGCCTCCAGAAGAAAGCCTTTACCAGCTGTCTTGCCTCTTATGCTATTTTTTTTACCTTCAACCAGTATTAGTTTTTAAGAACACTCTAAAAAAAAAAAGATTGCTATAGGTCATGACTGGTGTCTAGTCATTAAAAGATCTGTACATTTAAGCCATCTTGAATGAACTGATAGCTTAATCCTCCCTAAAGAAAGCACCAAAGTAACTGCTCTTGGAGTCCTTACTATTTTCTTCTTTTAGGTCATTTTAAGATAACTTATTTTGTGTGGGTATATATAAACACTGTTTGTGTGGGATTCTCTGGAAATTCAGCATCGACAGTCTCAAGCTTCATTTCCTTACCCTCTTCCAGTAAAGGTCTGAGCAATCAGTGACGGTGTGGTCCACTCAGTGAGTTCAACTCATAACTCTATTTGCAGCAAAATATATAGTTGTCCAATAGGATGGCAATCATAATTTAAAAGCAGGAAAAAATTATAGCAAGTGAAGCTATATGGACAGTCTGACTTACTCTGAGCTACTCTTTCAACTTAGTGAGCAGACCATCTGCTAGCCAAGATATATTTGGTCCTCTTGGCGAATGACAGGGAGAAACTGAATATATACAGTGTGTATCTAGTAGCAATATGAAATCTATCTCTAGAAAGAGAAAATACTAGTGTACTGTGGTAGCACCTAGAGTCCAGAACCCTACTGTGCTAGGCACTGGATAAACATAGAAGTCTGTTCCAAAAGCAGGCACAATTTAAGTATCTAGACACCTTTTAGTTACTAGTAAGTGTACCACTATACTATCTGCAACATTAATAAAAAGTCACTATTAACATCCATCTACAAATGTAGAAATATTAGCAGAAGACATCTGGTGTTTTGGATGCTACAAGGACATACTCAAATAAAGCAAAATTGACAGCACATGAAGACATAAGAGCAAAGTGGTCAATACCACATTATGCATCAGGTCCGAAAAGTTGTTAATTAGAAATCACATTGCAAGCAACACTATGTAACAGTATTTAAGTTTTAAGACAACAAAAAACGTAATTCCAATCTTACCTCTTCCACATTTATGCTGGATTTTGCACTTGTCTCTAGAAACTTGATTCCATAATCTATTGCTAACTGGAAGACAGGTTTTTAAAAGTTTTGGTATTTATAAATTAAGTTTGCAAAGTGACAAGTCATTATGTCAGCTAATAATGGAGCGGTGGCTCCACTAAGGGTGTAACCAAGTTGATATAATAATCCCAAATGTACTTTCTTTGCACTGGAAAAATGTTAACATTACGCTTTTACTGAAGAGTTGTATAGCATTTAATGAAGGACTAAATCAACAATTGCTATAGAAGCTTGAATGGTTCCTACAGAAATTGAGAGAATAGCTTAAGGGTTTTCTGAACTGTGGACCAGACCCTCTGCTGGTGTAAACTGATGTAGCTACACTGAATTGTATCCCCACCACAGAATATTACCAGAGGCAGATCCTGATGTAAATCTTGTCTATTCTGTAGCTTTTTTAAATTATTGTATGCAAATCACTCAAGTTCTATAGGACTTTTCCTATGGATACCAAAAGTTTAATTAAGAAAAAAAGTCTTAATAGTAGTCTAAGACATTCATATGCAGGTGTAGATAATCCTACCAGTTACCCGCTAGCCAGTATCATAATACTTGAAATTATAGTATATACAACCCATGTGTGCAGCCCTACTTCAGGATCCTTAGAAAGTGTCCCAGAATGTTAAAACCACTAACTTTACCCTTAATACGGCTATTTTAACATATTCGTAATTCGCCATTGCAAAAAACAGTGATTCAGAGAATGATCAACCACAATGCACTCAAATGACATCCTGATTATTCTCCCTTTTAGGTTCCCTCAAAAGGGAAGAATTGTGTTATCATAGGGAAGGCCAACATTTAGAACATCTCACTGGAGAGGAGTATTGAAGCTCAATTGGATTCCATATATTAAGTACCATCTTAAAAAAAGATTGACATCCTATGATGTGTAGAAGGTTCTAAAGCAGAGGTGGGCAAACTATGGCCTGCGGGCCATATCCGGCCCACGGGACCCTCCTGCCCGGCCCCCGAGCTCCTGGCCCGGGAGGCTAGCCCCCGGCCTCTCCCCTGCCATTCCCCCTCCCCCACAGCCTCAGCTCACTGCACCTCTGGCACAATGCTCTGGGTGGCGGGGCTGAGAGCTCTTGCTGGGCAGCACAGCTGCAGAGCCGTGGCCTGACCCGGTGCTCTGTGCTGCGCGGTGGTGTGGCTGGCTCCAGCCAGGCAGCATGGCTACCTGTCCTGGTGCTCGGGCAGTGCAGCTGTAGTGCTGCCAACCACCGGTGCTTCAGGCAGCACGGTAAGGGAGCAGGGATCGGGGGGTGGGGGTTGACTAGAGGGAAGGGGAGTTCAGGATGGTGTTCGGGGGTGCGGGTGTGGATAGGGGCTGGGGCAGTCCGGAAGGAGATGGGGGGGTTGGATGGGGTGGCAAGGGTCCTGGGGGGGACAGTCAGGAATGAGAGCAGGGGTTGGATGGGGTGGCAGGGGGCAGTCAGGGGCAGGGGTCCAGGGTCGGTCAGGGAACAGGAGTCCCAGGGGGGCCGTCAGGTGGCGAGAAGCTGGACGGGGGGGTCAAAGGGTGTGGGGGCCAGGCCACACCTGGCTGTTTGGGGAGACAGCCTCCCCTAACCGGCCCTCCAAAAAGTTTGCCTGCCCCAGTTCTAAAAGCAGAAAGGAATTAAAAAGACTGATTATTTTGTTTGGTGTTGCTAAAAGTAGAGTAACAAGCATCATTAAGAACAGTAGATCAGAGAAAATATTAGGCCTTTATTAAAGAATTTAGGAGTCCAAAAATGTACCTTCTCTCCTTTTTCTTTTGAGACTTGTCTCTTTTCATTCATATCACATTTATTACCCAAAATCATTCTTTCCACATCTGAAGAGGCATGCTGAAGGGAAAAATAAGCTCTTGTTAAAGCAGCATAGAGTTAAAGATAAATCTTCACCTATCAGAAACAGATCCACACATTAGACAATAAGAACTCATTAATAAAACCCTAATAAGGGCATCAGTGGTGAAAGAGAGAAGAAAAGCTTTTTGAAAGGCTTAATAAAGTATTTTTCTTAATTTTGAACATCTAGGGCATCAGCATGTAGATGTCCTGCTTGACTTCAGAATGAAGTTATTAAAATAAGACTGATGTTTACTGACTTGCAAAGTGGTCACAAATTGCCTGATTAGTCAAGAATGGAAGCACACTGATTTTGAGTAAAAGGCTTTTCTAACCCTTGTCACCAATGACCAGTCTGATGTGATGTATCAGAAGTCTCCTTGGGATAGTCCCTTCTTTGCGAGGTCCAATAGTCAAATGAACCAGAGAATGGTAGCAGGTTTCTTTTTCTGAGAGCAAGTAGAATACAATTCTGTCACCACCAGATTAAGCCTTATTTTGCTTGGATCTAATGCTCAAGCCTTCCTATTCCCAATTCCTTTAGCACTGCCTTCAGATTCAAGTATGGTCAATGTATTTGCTATTCAAATAGTTTACAAGGTGAGGGAAAACGAACACACAACTGAAGTTTAACATAAGAACAAAGGCAAAATTTGGACAACAGGGTATTGAATGTACACAAGCAGGTAAATCTACACTTAAACAATACCAGAATACTGTTAGGCATTTCTCAACTTCACCAAGAGATACTGAAAACAGTTCTCCTTCTCGTCTCTTAGCCATACTTCAAAGCAAAGGTTAAGCTAAAGGCATCCACTGGAAGCAAGCCGTTTTGAAATCCTTGCTCTACATGATCATTTTTGAATGACAGTCTCTAACTTTCCTCTTCCAGCCCATGGTAAACCAGAAAGCCACCCTGTGCTCAAGGACGACTGCTTTGGTTTACATCCATTCTAACTTGGCTACACATATACACCCCTTCGCTGAAAGAAAATAAAATTGCTCGGATGTTGGTCATTGCTTTGGAGAAGTTACAGAATATCAACAGATGCAGCTTATTTCCCCAATCACCTACCTCTTCTATGTTCCTTATCCAGTTTTTAATGTTGTCAAAAGACTTCTCATTTGTGATGTCATATACCAGCATAATTCCCTGTGGAGGAAAAACAAAACAATCTAATCTTAATATTAGTTTAGATTTGATGTACATATTGCTTGTTTGCAGTTAAAACGCCTAAAAAGTCAGTAAGCCACATATACCTTTATAATTAACAGCCCTTTCTGAAGACTTTATATGATCTCTCTTTGAATAAATTTTGAATGGTCTTGACCCAATAAATATCCATTAATTGTCTCCTATTGTTTTTAAACATAGGATAATTATGCTCTTAAAATATTAAGTTAAAACTAGCTAAACTATGGTGAGAAAGAATTTGTAAATTCTATAACTAAAAAGGCAGCCAGCAGTCGGTCTTACTAGAAAGAAAGATTGTGACTACCATAAATTAACCATGATCTGATATCCTGTTTGTCTTAAGTAAAGCCATGTTTACAACATGTATTCAATGTTCACTATGCATCACCACACCCCCACCCCTCAAAAGGGTCTAGGAACAGCTTTTGTAAGATGCTGCTTGCCCAGGGCAAGTAGCTCTACTTGACAGACGAGTAGAGTTTTATAGCAAGGCTGATACTGAATGTTGTCAAGGCAAATCTGCTCTTCCATAGCTGTGTGTATGCACGTGCATCTCCCTGTAACATGGTGGCCGTAAAAGTAAAAAAAGCCAGACTGTAACTGCATTAATGCCTGACCTAGGATGTCTCAGTCATGGTATGTTGTGAATAGCTCTGTCACATAGGGTGTGTCAAAATGGAAGAAACTATTTAAAAGTCAAATAGTTCACTAACTAGAACCAGTAGCAGTTGCACTAGAGACAATTTATATACTTGATCATGTCTGATTCTAGCGGCAGCATTCTAGAGCTGCTGAAGGGGACACACAGCAGGAAAACCAACTCAGTCAAATTCACTTTTAATATTAGCAGACATATCACCTATCCTGCTATCACCTGAAACAAGGAAAATGTTGATTGCATAAAAACAAAACTTGGTGAATTAAGCCTCGTGTCCAGAGAGAGATTGTGACTATATACAAGATGGAGGGGCAGAAAACTGGAGAACAAGATTTCACAAAAACCGCAATGGTCCTGAAATAATCTGTTATCCCCTACCTTTGAGTTATTATTTCTCTCTATCAAGACAGATTGAACCCTTTAAACCTAAGGAAGCAAACTAATTACGATTTTAGTTACACCTGAACAGATAACACTCCAAACACTCACTCACCATGGCTCCTCTGTAGTATGCTGTTGTGATTGTGCGGAATCTCTCCTGACCAGCCGTATCCCTAGAATTTGGTGAAAACAGACACTTGTTTGTTTATTGTTTTTAAACCTTGTTTTCACTACTTTCAGAATCCAAAAAAACCAAAAAGGTAATGAATGTGTTGATACGCCTGGATATTAAGAAAAGTACCCTTTAAAAAGGGTTAAATAAGTATATCTTTCTCCTTTACACTCAAAAAAGGAGCAACAAACCATTATACTGAGATTGATATTTATGAGGGGAAATAGCAGGGTGGATAAAAATCTTTTTTTAAACAAAAATTTTAAATCATCGAATTTTTTAAAATTTAAATAGGATTTTTTTGATAAAATGCTTTTTGAGGAAAAAACCTATCTAAAGATAGTTTTAATTAAGATATCTCTGAGCTATAATGTATCTCATCATGGAATAGGGATTATAAATTCTAATTCTATAGTATGAGACAATATATTAATGTAATGTTTAAGAAAAGTTTTGTAAATGAGTTCCAATAGTTCATGGATTAGGGACTCAATTTTATGGAGGTCCAGGGGCTTCTGTATATATTATTTAGGTTAATCTTTCTAACAACCCAATGAGATTCAGTGCTCAGTCTAGATCAGGGATCGGCAACCTTTGGCATGGGGCCCGTCAGAGAAATCCACTAGCGGGTCGGGCCGGTTTGTTTACCTGCAGTGTCGGCAGGTTTGGCCAATCGCAGCTCCCACTGGCCGCGGTTTGCTGTTCCAGGCTAATGGGGGCTGAGGGAAGTGGCAGCCAGCACATTGCAGGCCAATGGGGGCTGCAGGAAACCGTGGGGACCGAGGGATGTGCTGGCTGCCACTTCCCACAGCCCCCATTTGCCTGGAACGACCAACTGCCGCTAGTGGGAGCGGCGATCGGCCAAACCTGCGGACACTGCAGGTAAACAAACCGTCCCGGCCCGCCAGCAGCTTTCCCTAATGGGCCATGTTCCAAAGGTTGCCGATCCCTGGTCTAGAAGATACCATCGGAGATGCTTAGTTTTGCAGTTCTCAAACTGTGGATTTGTGTCTCCAGAGAAAACATGCTTGTTAACAGCAAAAATGTTTATTTATTTATTTACAAACACAGACAGACAGAGGTGAGAAATAACAGACTTCAACCCTATTGTCCCTCTACAAATTTGTGTACATAGAATCAGTCTCTTACCACGCTCTAAAAGTGCAAAGTTTCAAAAAGTTCGATGAATAGAAGATTGTTGGGGCAGAATAGATCTGGACAAGGAAAAGAAGTCTGGAGATAATGTGAGAAGGGAGCTACAGGCAGTAGAAACAAAAGTGAAACTGTTAGAGCAGCACATTCCAGAAGTCTTGATGTCTTTCTGAGCGTAGCCTTCATTGATTTGAGATATACCATACCATTCTCTCACTAGAAAGGAAAACCTATAATGGCAGCAGGCCGTGAGAGAGACCCAGTTCGGGAATATTTTAATGACGTTCCTCTACCTGCGGGTAAGACAGCCATGCATGCAAAATGCAAAAAGTGCAACAATGAAATGCAAGACCTGGCTGCCCGAATGAAACATCATGAGAAGTGTTCCTTCTTAGGAGAAAGCTGCATTGAAGATGATGAAAGCAACATGTCTGAACCTGCAGGATCTTCAGATTGGTAAACTTTTATTTCATACTTCTTTCTTATGGACTGCCTGTTTTCCTTCTGGTCTATTCTTGAATTCTCATGTTTGAGCAAAAAATATAGTTGTTACTCTATGGTATTATCATTTTAGATGCAGTTGTGATAAAAAATAGCTGAAATAGGCTGATCTTCCTTTTACAATTTCACTTTTAAAATAGTATTAAGTGTCAAGGAATGCAATGAGTAATACTAAATGAGAAGTATGGCAATAATAATTAAATAACTGCATTGATTTATTTTGTTTAGGAGAATCCATCCTCAACATACAGGATTCTGAAGACTATCCACCTTCAAGATCACCATCATTTTCTATAGTTTCAGAGTTATCTGCCAATGATAGTGTTTCAGTCACATCATGTATGTCACATAGCCACAGTATATCACCTGTAGCAAAAAGAAAAAAAAATCTCCATCATCCAGAAACAGCCATAGATAAGTTTGTGATAAGAACCAGCAGATTAGAAAAAGAGGTAATTGATGAAAAAAATTGCCCAGTTTGTTTATGCAACAAAAACTCTCCTTTCCATATGACTGAGAGACCCCACACTTCATTAGTTCAGTTCAGTCATTAAGACCAGGATACAGTCCACCCAACAGAGCAGATGATGCAGGCTAATTGCTGGAGAAAGTGTATGAAAGAGAAATTGAGCAGTGTGCAAAAGCTCCAGAGGGTAAAATTGTTAACCTGAGTCTTGATGGGTGGAGCAATGTCCACAACGATCCTGTTGTGTGTGCTTGTGGGACAACAGAAGAAGGGAATGTCTTCCTTACAGAAACAATTGATACATCAGGAAATGCACACACACCAGAATACTTACAAGTAGCAGCAGTAAAAGCAATAACAAACTGAAAAAAAAAAAATTCAAAAGTTTAGCATGCAGCTTGGTCACAGACAATGCTGCAAATGTATCCAAGATGAGAAGAAATTTAGAAGACAGTGAAGAGTCCCAAGCTAATAACATACAGTTGCCATGCTCATTTGATGCACCTCCTAGCCAAAGACTTCAGTGTTCCAGAAATAAAGCCGAATGTCGTTGAAATTGCAAAATACTTCCATAACAACCACTTTGCAGCAGCTGCTCTGAAAAAAATGGGAGGAACCAAGCAAACTCTCCTATATGACGTACGATGGAACTCGGTAGTGGAGTGTTTCCTGCACTATATCAAGAACGGGCCCAATCTAATGACAGTTTGTGAACAAAATCATGAAAAAAATGGATGGCACTGTCACAGCCAAAGTTCTCAAGATTGGGCTTAAGAGAAATGTTGAACACATGCTGAGTACCCTGAAGCCTATTTCTGTAGCCTTGAACAAAATGCAGGGAAATAGCTGTTTTATTGCTGACATAGTAGAAATTTGTAAGGAATCGAGTGCGATCTTAAAAAGAAAAATATGCAATGACAAAGTTAAATTACAAGCATTATAAAAAACCGAATGGGACAAGCACCATCTCCAGCTCATTTTCTTGCAGATATTCTCAATACTCGGTACCAGGGTCAAACCATAATGGCTGAAGAAGAGGAGTTGGCTATGACATGGACATCCAGCAATCATCCCTCCATAATGCCAACTATAACAAACTTCAGAGCTAAGGGTGAACCATTCAAGAAATATATATTTGCTGATGATATTTTAAAGAAAGTCACACCAGTTAACTGGTGGAAGTCACTTAAGCACTTGGATTCAGAAACTGTTGAAGTGATAATCTCACTTTTAAACGCTGTAGTTTCTTCGTTGGCGTAGAAAGAATATTTTCTTCCTTTGGACTAATTCATTCCAAATTGAGAAATCCTTTGGGACCTGAAAAAGCAGGAAAGCTTGTTTTTCTTTTCCAGATTATGAAGTAACAGGAAAATGAAGGTGAAGACGACCGAGTTAACTGCAGAAGCCAATATTTTAAGTTTCTCATGTTGACCTGGCTGACAGTCGATTTAATTTTTGTGGGGTTTTTTTTTTTTAATATTTCATTTAAACTCTTTTAGTTAAACAATTTTAACGAAAACAAACCTGATTTTAAAAAACTTGAATGTTTTTAACTAAAAACAAATTTAAATGCTTGTTTTGTTAAAATACCTTTGGTAAACGCAATAACCAAACAATCATTCATTTTCTGATATAGCTGTAAAACTAATCTGAAATGTTTTCAAAATAAATCACTTTAAAAATGTGTAGTGTGTACCTTCTAAAAATGAAACCTACATCTCTCTCTGAGTTGTGAAGAATATGTATTAAGGTTATAAAAACCAACAAGAATGCACTTATGTAGAAATCCATGATTAAATCAAGTCTTCACGAGTAGTGATTTAAATCAATTTGGATTTAAAATCAAGTCCACCCTGGGAAATAGTAAAAAAGAGAAATCGAATTTTCAGTTAAGAAACTGACACAGCATCAGTCAACTGAGACTCAGTACTGCATGGCCCTGCTTACAGGAACAAGTGTAAGCAATTCTTCTGAGGCAGTTTCTATACATTTTAGCCTGTATTAAACAAAAAAGTGTGCCCCAAGAAGTCATTAAAAACAAATACAGGATAGGACAATTTCATGCATAATTAAGAATTAGGACCAACCACCATAGGATAGCAGTCAGTAAAGTTTCTTGGATGCTGCTTCAAGGAAACTGGCCATGTGAGGATAAGACAAGTTTTAACCAGTGAGCTCAGGAAGTGTATGAATGTCAACTGCACCAGAGGCAGCTAAATTCCAGATGTCTGCTGGCTAATTTCTCAACACTGTATGGATATGGATAACATTTGGACACCAACAGATAAAAGAAGATTTAGCTAGTGATGGTGACTTTTCATTACATGGAAATGTTAAATCAGTGATACTCAGACATCAGTGTTTCAGGAGCCAAATTCGCCATCATCATTACCCAAGAGACACACAGTAGTATGAATTCACTGTTTAATTTTCTATAGTACTATATATTTTTATACATATTATTCTCACAGAAAATAAGGTAATTTAATACAAGTTGATAATGTAATTGGTTAACATCATAAAAGCATCCTGATTGGTTAATAATTAAAATCACAGTGTTTTAATATCATGTGCTGCAAAGAGCCACAGGCAACACATTAAAAAGCCCCTTGTGACTCACAAGCCTCAGTCTGAGTATCACTGCATTAAACCAAGTGTCAGAAAGGGCTCATTCCAGCCCCCCCTTAAAATATATCAGCAAGCACCTGATATTTTAAGTGGAAAAACCGTGGTAGCATTTAGTGGTCTGCCTGCATCCATCTGACAATCCCTGTGATGATAGGACACCAGTCCTTCCTTCCCCCATGACCCAAGAACTTTTGACAATCCCCATTTCCCATTATGCAGTCTGACTCCAGGCACCAATACATTAAACATCCATCCAACACAAATTAGATTTAAAACAAACAAAAAAACCCCAAAAATAAAAAACAAAAAAAACCTAGCAGCTCTCACTGCTTAGTCTAGGATTGTGCTGTTAGGAGAACCTTTTCTCTAAGAACAAGGTGGCAGATAGCTATTGTACGAGAGCTTACCACAAGTTTTACAGCTTCTCCATCACTCAGGGCTTGTCTACATTACCTGCAGGATCGAGGGGCAGCGATCGATCCAGCGGGGGTTGATTTATCACGTCTAGTCTAGACGCAATAAATCGACCGCCGAGCACTCTGCCATCAACTCCTGTACTCCACCGGAGCGAGAGGCATAGGTGGAGTCAATGGGGGAACGTCAGCTGTCGACTCACCACAGTGAAGACACCGCGGTGAGTAGATTTAAGTATATCGACTTCAGTTATGTTATTCACGTAGCTGAAGTTGCGCAACTTAGATCGATCCTCCCCCATAGTGTAGACCAGGCCGAAGTCTGCCCTGTTTATGCTATTGCACTCTACTGCCCATGAGTAATTGAGCCTGACTGAAAACTTATTTTATTTACATTGCTTTGTAATACTTACCATATTTGTAGCTTAATTTTCTTTCCATCTAGTTCTATTGTTCTGATTTTAAAATCAATTCCTGGCAGAGAGAAACATATAAGTTTAATGACAAAAGGAAATAAATATTCAATTTTCTATTCATTGCTCTGAAATAAAAGTAAGGGTCATGTAGGAAAGCAGTAAAGATTCTGAAGTTGTTACTCTCAAATTACTCTGCTGAATTTGTACAGAAAACTAGACACTGAAGTTAATGGCGCTATGCTAGTTTATACCAGTTCAAGATCTCACCCCAACATCCCTCTACTTATTTATACTGTAGGACCAAAGTTTTCAGAAGTAGCCACAAATTTTGGGTGCCCACTTAGAGAGAAAGGCCCAACTATCAAAAGTTCTGACTATCCTGAAGTTTAACCAAAGTCCATGGGAGTCCTGGGTGCTCAACATGTCTGAAAAATTCAGCCTTACAGTACCTTAAACTGGCCTTCTTATATTAGTGGCTACTTTAGAATGAAATAAGCCCAAATTTTCAAATCAGAAGCTGCAGGAGAGGGGTAAGGCACTTTATAGTCAAACAAAGGAAAGCGTTACTCTTATCAGAGCTCCATGAACTAGCTGAGTGGCGGCGGACCAGCTGAGCAGCACACAGCAGGAGTTGCCTGGGATTGGCGAGTATCTGAGTGTGTGTTTGCTGGGAGGGCAGTTTGAAAGCCCTGAGCGAGTGCCTGATTGGGTGGTAGCCTGCAGGGGGCGGGTATTGGGGGGTGTCTGTCTGTTTCAGGGAAGCCTGGCTGTTTAAAAATAGCCAGAGCTCCGCAAACCAGCTGAGCAGCAGGGAACAGCAGAGCAGCACACAGCAGGAGTTTGCCTAGGAGTTCGCCTGGGGTGAGCCCAGTGAGGCTTACATCTTGCCAGTTTCTCTGAGGAAGCTCATAGTAGGAAGGTCATATGGGGGGGGGGGGGTGTTCAGCTATTGTGACCTGCACTGGATATGCCACGTTTGTCTTTCTTCCACAGGACAGAAGCGACTTTGTCTGTACAAAGTGCAAGCTAGTATCCATATTGGAAGAGAAGATTGAAGGTCTGGAGCAACAGATATTGACCCTGTGTTGCATACGAGAATCTGAGGATTTCCTGGACAAAAGTCATGATATGCTTCTTAGGGCACAAAGCTCTAAAGATTTAGAGCAGGTTGCACAGCGGAGCCAAGAGGCCAGTGAAGAAGCTTGGCAACATGTGACCTCCAGAAGAAGGGGCAATGTCCGGGTAACAGCAACGCAGACACAGGTAAGTAATTGTTTTCATGTTCTCGCCACAGGTACCTTTGCGGAGAGTGGACCAGATGATACGTCTGGGGGGAGAAAGCAGAAGGAGACTCCGCTGGTTGGAAGGCATGAGATGCGATGTCCTGAGGTTGTGGGTTCCACGACCACCACTCACAAGAGAAGGAGGCGGGTGGTGGTGGTCGGGGACTCTCTCTTCAGGGGGACTGAGTCATCTATCTGCCGCCCTGACTGGGAAAACAGAGAAGTCTGCTGCTAGCCAGGGGCTAAGATTCACGATGTGACGGAGAGACTGCGGAGATGCATCAAGTCCTCGGATCGCTACCCCTTCCTGCTTCTCCACGTGGGCACCAATGATACTGCCAAGAATGACCTTGAGCGGATCACTGTGGACTACGTGGCTCTGGGAAAAAGGATAAAGGAGTTTGAGGCGCAAGTGGTGTTCTCGTCCATCCTCCCCGTGGAAGGAAAAGGCCGGGGTAGGGACCGTCGAATCGTGGAAGTCAACGAATGGCTACGCAGGTGGCGTCGGAGAGAAGGTTTTGGATTCTTTGACCATGGGATGGTGTTCCATGAAGGAGGAGTGCTGGGCAGAGATGGGCTCCACCTAACGAAGAGATGGAAGAGCATCTTTGCGAGCAAGCTGGCTAACCTAGTGAGGAGGGCTTTAAACTAGGTTCACCGGGGGAAGGAGACCAAAGCCCTGAGGTAAGTGGGCAAGCAGGATACCGGGAGGAAGCACAGGCAGGAACGTCTGTGAGGGGAGGGCTCCTACCTCATACTGAGAATGAGGGGCGATCAGCAGGTTATCTCAAGTGCCTATATACAAATGCACAAAGCCTTGGAAACAAGCAAGGAGAACTGGAGGTCCTGGTGAAGACAAGGAATTATGACGTGATTGGAATAACAGACTTGGTGGGATAACTCACATGACTGGAGTACTGTCATGGATGGTTATAAACTGTTCAGGAAGGACAGGCAGGGCAGAAAAGGTGGGGGAGTAGCACTGTATGTAAGGGAGCAGTATGACTGCTCAGAGCTCCGGTACGAAACTGCAGAAAAACCTGAGTGTCTCTGGATTAAGTTTAGAAGTGTGAGCAACAAGAGTGATGTAGTGGCGGGAGTCTGCTATAGACCACCGGACCAGGGGGATGAGGTGGATGAGGCTTTCTTCCGGCAACTCGCAGAAGCTACTACATCGCACGCCTTGGTTCTCATGGGCGACTTTAAACATCCTGATATCTGCTGGGAGAGCACTACAGCGGTGCACAGACAATCCAGGAAGTTTTTGGAAAACGTAGGGGACAATTTCCTGGTGCAAGTGCTGGAGGAGCCAACTAGGGGGAGAGCTTTTCTTGACCTGCTGCTCACAAACCGCGAAGAATTAGTAGGGGAAGCAAAAGTGGATGGGAATCTGGGAGGCAGTGACCATGAGTTGGTCGAGTTCAGGATCCTGACACAGGGAAGAAAGGTAAGCAGCAGAATACGGACCCTGGACTTCAGGAAAGCAGACTTCGACTCCCTCAGGGAACTGATGGGTAGGATCCCCTGGGGGAATAATGAGGGAGAAAGGAGTCCAGGAGAGCTGGCTGTATTTCAAAGAATCCCTATTGAGGTTACAGGGACAAACCATCCCAATGTGTCGAAAGAATAGTAAATATGGCAGGCGACCAGCTCGGCTTAACAGTGAAATCCTTGCAGATCTTAAACATAAAAAAGAAGCTTACAAGAAGTGGAAGCTTGGACAAATGACCAGGGAAGAGTATAAAAATGTTGCTCGGGCATGTAGGAATGAAATCAGGAGGGCCAAACCGCACCTGGAGCTGCAGCTAGCGAGAGATGTTAAGAGTAACAAGAAGGGTTTCTTCAGGTATGTTGGCAACAAGAAGAAAGCCAAGGAAAGTGTGGGCCCCTTACTGAATGAGGGAGGCAACCTAGTGACAGAGGATGTGGAAAAAGCTAATGTACTCAATGCTTTTTTTGCCTCTGTCTTCACGAACAAGGTGAGCTCCCAGACTGCTGCGCTGGGCAACACAGCATACGGAGTAGGTGGCCAGCCCTCTGTGGAGAAAGAAGCGGTTAGGGACTATGTAGAAAAGCTGGACGTGCACAAGTCTATGGGGCTGGATGCATTGCATCCGAGAGTCCTAAAGGAGTTGGCGGCTGTGATTGCAGAGCCATTGGCCATTATCTTTGAAAACTCATGGCGACTGGGGGAAGTCCCGGACGACTGGAAAAAGGCTAATGTAGTGCCCATCTTTAAAAAAGGGAAGGAGGAGGATCCTGGGAACTACAGGCCAGTCAGCCTCACCTCAGTCCCTGGAAAAATCATGAGCAGGTCCTCAAGGAATCAATCCTGAAGCACTTACATGAGAGGAAAGTGATCAGGAACAGTCAGCATGGATTCACCAAGGGAAGGTCATGCCTGACTAATCTAATCGCCTTCTATGATGAGATTACTGGTTCTGTGGATGAAGGGAAAGCAGTGGATGTATTGTTTCTTGACTTTAGCAAAGCTTTTGACACGGTCTCCCACAGTATTCTTGTCAACAAGTTAAAGAAGTATGGGCTGGATGAATGCACTATAAGGTGGGTAGAAAGTTGGCTAGATTGTTGGGCTCAACGGGCAGTGATCAATGGCTCCATGTCTAGATGGCAGCCGGTATCAAGTGGAGTGCCCCAAGGGTCGGTCCTGGGGCCGGTTTTGCTCAATATCTTCATAAATGATTTGGAGGATGGTGTGGATTGCACTCTCAGCAAATTTGCGGATGATACTAAACTAGGAAGAGTGGTAGATACGGTGGCAGGTAGGGATAGGATACAGAGGGACCTAGACAAATTGGAGGATTGGGCCAAAAGAAATCTGATGAGGTTCAACAAGGGTAAGTGCAGGGTCCTGCACTTAGGACAGAAGAATCCAATGCACCGCTACAGACTAGGGACCAAACGGCTAGGCAGCAGTTCTGCGGAAAAGGACCTAGGGGTGACAGTGGAAGAGAAGCTGGATATGAATCAACAGCGTGCCCTTGTTGCCAAGAAGGCCAATGGCATTTTGGGATGTATAAGTAGGGGCATAGCCAGCAGATGGAGGGACGTGATCGTTCCCCTCTATTCGACATTGGTGAGGCCTCATCTGGAGTATTGTGTCCAGTTTTGGGCCCCACACTACAAGAAGGATGTGGAAAAATTGGAGAGAGTCCAGCGAAGGGCAACAAAAATGATTAGGGGTCTGGAACACATGACTTATGAGGAGAGGCTGAGGGAACTGGGATTGTTTAGTCTGCAGAAGAGAAGAATGAGGGGGGATTGGATAGCTGCTTTCAACTACCTGAGAGGTGGTTCCAGAGAGGATGGATCTAGACTATTCTCAGTGGTAGAAGATGACAGGACAAGGAGTAATGGTCTCAAGTTGCAATGGGGGAGGTTTAGGTTGGATATTAGGAAATTTTTTTTCACTAGGAGGGTGGTGAAACACTGGAATGTGTTACCTAGGGAGGTGGTAGAATCTCCTTCCTTAAGTTTTTAAGGTCAGGCTTGACAAATCCCTGGCTGGGATGATTTAATTGGGGATTGGTCCTGATTTGAGCAGGGTGTTGGACTAGATGACCTCCTGAGGCCCCTTCCAACCCTGATATTCTATGATTCTATCTGTAAACCAGATGTATAGGCTGGTCCGTAAATGAGGCCTACTGCAATAGATCATGGAGATATATAACACACACACACACACACACACACGGAGTATATAAAGACAGGTTTCAGAGGAACAGCCGTGTTAGTCTGTATTCGCAAAAAGAAA